GGTGTGTGTGTGTGGCCAGCTCAGCCCACCAGGGGGCGGGGCTGGCTGGCATGTGGCGCTGGGGGATCGAACCGCGGTCCCTGATGCTTTGCTAAACTTGTTCTAAGTAGGTGCTTTAGACCACTGAGCCATCTCTCCAGCCCATTCGTAGTTTAATTATAAAAATATTTTTATAAGTGCATTTTTGGGGTCAATGGTATATACAGTTTCAGTTTCAACTCAGATTGCTCCACTGCTTTCCAGAAGGGTGCTCTCATCTCTGTGTGTGTGTGTGTGTGTGTGTGTGTGTGTGTGTGTAAATTGGCTTTCATCCTTTGCTTCAATCTGTCTTTTTCTGTTGGGATATTTATCTTTTTTTCTTGTCTTATTACAGTTTTCTATGCAAAATAATACTAAGTGCTCTGTATTATGTATGGTGCAAGTAATTTTTTTCTTGATTTATTTTTGGTCTTAAATGTGTTTCTACCATATTGAAAATTTTAATTTTATGTAGTTAAATGTACTTTTGTATTTTTTTTTGGTATTTTGCTCTGATGTCTTGCTTATTAAAAAGATTTCCTTCACTTCAGGATAACAAAAATGCTTTATCTCTATCTCCTTGTATTTTTTAGGATTTTGTATTTTATTTTAAAATCTTTTATGTGGCTATAATTTATTTTGAGTAAAAGGATGAGGCTCATTTTATATTTCCTTGGAAGATGAATGTGTCCTTTTTTACTAGTGACCTTGTCATCCTAAATTCTAGATACCTGCTAAGTTTCTTTTAGCAGTATTTTTTTTTAAATGAATTTAGGAAGGGTGTACAAGGTCTCACTACATAGATCGCACTTGTAGCGATCTGCCTGTGTTCAGCCTCCCAAGCACTGGGATTACAGGTGCACACTACCACACCCAGTCTCAATAGCTGTCTCAGCACTGCCTTGGGAGGTGGGACCGGCACTGCACGCTGGGAATCAAACCCGGCTGCTGCACTCTGCCTAAGCAGGCGCTTTAGTCCACTGAGCTATCTGGCCAGCCCAGTAGTTTTGTAATAATGGGGTGATACTTAAAATTCTTTGGCCTTCTAACAATGTTGCTGATTTTACTTTTTCTATTTTGTAAAGGAACTTTGTGCTTTAATGTTTTCTCTGGATTGGATTAAAGCAAAAACAGAACTTGTAGGCCCTGCTCATTTGATTCATGAATTTGTGGAATACAGGCACATATTGGATGAAAAGGTATATATTAACATGAAAAGTTAATGTTTAAAGGACTTCTAATACTGGCCTCTAATTTTCTAAATGTTGAATAGAAATACTTTCCTTGCTTTTACTTTTGATTATTTGAATTAATTTGCTTCCTATCCTACTGGGAATATAAGTAAGGTTGAAGTTTGTAAGGGTTTGGGTTGTTTTAAGAAAAAAGCGTTAAATGTGTTTGATAATGAGATTTTTACCCTATGTTTCAAAGTCAGAAGAGAGTTACTATATATTTGTTACCTAATGGTTGGCTATTATATTTTAGTTCACATAGAGAATAAGTCATTTAAGTCTTTAAAGTGACAAGATCACGGAATTAGACAATTGTTAGATCATGGGTCTGGTTATGTTTCTAAGAGCTGTCAGTTTGTTCATAGGATTTCACAGTCTGTGAGAATTTCCAGGAGTTTTTATCTTTAAATGGACACCTTCTTGGACGAAAGCCGTTTCCTAATATTGTACAGCTGGGGCTCTGTGAACCGGAAACTTCAGAAGTTTATCAGCAAGCAAAGCTGCAGGCCAAGCAGGAGGTCGATAACGGGATGCTTTACCTGGAGTGGATGTAAGTAGGTTAGAGAAAGCAAAGGGAGTAGAGTGCTAACTGTGTCATTATTTTTCAGGTAGTGAATTTCCAGAAAGATATAACTGCTTTGGGAAGAGCTGGAACTTTTAATAAGCATCCTTATCTATGAAAAGTTCCAGAGAAATAAGTATAGGAGAAAATGATTGGATCTTCGAGGTCCACAGAAATAGTTACCTTATTAGAAGGCATTTTGACGAATCCTCTTAAATGTTAATAGCTAGAGTTTGCATTACTGCAACCTGTTACTGCAGACATAGTGGTATACAGTGTGGGCTTGGAGCCCTAGACCTGAGTTTGAGTCTTTGTGCTAAAAGTAATTTTATGATTTTGAACAAATTGCCAGCTACTTCCTCATGTAAAATGGAGATAATAGTTTGTTTTGTTTGTTTTTGTGGGGACAGGGTCTTGCTGTGTGGTCCAGGCTGGCCTGGGACTCAATGATGTGGCTCAGACTGGGTTCAAACTTCATATCTTGCCTCAGCATTTGTGATGCTGGGATTGTAAGTGTACATCACCATGCACTGCTTTGTGAGAATTCAAGTGAAGCAATGGCTACAAAATAATTTGCACTCTGCCCTGCATATAGCTCTTTTTTCCTCTTTTGTTTGTTTTTGAGACAGGGTCATGCTGTCTCAAAAGCTCCTACACTCACGTTGTACCCCAGGCTGACCCTGAACTCACTTCTGCCTCAGCTCCCTAATTGCTGGGCTCACAGTTGTGCTTTACCATGCCTGGTTATTTGTATAGCTTTTATTAAATGTCCATTGAATACTGATTCTTTAAAGGAAGTTGTTCCCTTTTACTTTAATAATGTTAGTAAAAAGGAAAGGATAGACTACTACCTGTATAATACCTAATATTTATTAACTGTATATGCTATTCCATTGAATCCTCACAGTGACCTTGTAATGTAAATATTAATTGCCAGATGTAGAGAGCTTGATTTGGCTGCTATGGGGGCATCGGAGTGGGATTTAAACCACGGGTCTGCCAGCTTTACGTCCGTGTTCCTCCATACGCCATGCTGCTCCTACAGCTGGAAGTAGAAATAGGAGTGGTTGTCCTTTTACATGTACAGTTTATGTCTAAGTTGAACTCCAGGTTGCTATTCATGATCTATGTTGTCCTGGGCCTCTTTGCAGGTAAGTCAGGTTGCCATAGATGTTTCCCGTGACCCAGTGTAATTGGGCAAACATTTAAGTTTCTCTAACAGGCTAAGCACTAGTAGGTGCTGAGGCTTTCTCCAAGGAGTTCCCAGTTTAGTAGTGAAGAAAGAAGTTTAAGCAAATAACTACAATATAATGTGATAAGTGGAACAACAGAAGCATGTATAAAATAGAGTTAGAACTGGTAAGTACTTAATTTAGATAGGTGAGGAATTTGGTGAGGTTCCCGGAAGGATGTGATATCTGAGGTTTGTTTTAGTTCTAATATAGTTTTAATTTTTGTTGCTTTTATTTTATATGATCCTCATTTTTGAAACTTAGAAATAAAATGAAAAGTCAGAGACTTTCTTTCTCCTACTCACTTGCAAGAGTTAGCCATTCTTTAACATTTGCTGTGAAAGTGGAGGTTTCACTTTCACTGAGGCAAAGTCAAAGTTTTGCTAAGTGAGTAGCTTCCTAACCTACTGACACTAGATCTGTCAGTATTGTAGAATGTGTGCTCCTTGCTTGTTTTTTAAAAAATAATTTTATTGAGAAACAAATAGCAATGAGACAGTTTCAAAACCCATTAGTAGGACAGTTTCAATATTAATACATTGCATATTGTTGTCTTAGTGGTTATTCATTGTTACAAGATGCAGACATGATATCCTGTCCATAAACACTATTAGAACAAATCTATCTATTTAATTAAGAGACTGTAGCTGTATATCTATCCTATTTTGAATATACAGATACCTCCTTGCTTATTTGGATCATTTGTCACTCATTATTATGGTTACCTGTTTGTTTTTCTCCTGTGATAGTCATATTCTTTGGTTTAGAATAGTCTGGAAGTTAGAAGGAGAGTGGCTCTAAACTGCCTGGGCTTGAGTTCTGGCTGTGCCAGGGATTAGTTGTATGTTATTAGGAGAAAGTTCAGCTTCTCTCACCTGGTGCCTTATTCCACAGCATGTGAAGATTAAAGGACTGAGGTGTGTATACAGACACACAAGGTGCTGATAACAGCGCCTAGTTCATAGAAGGTGCATAGTACCTATCACAGTTGTCAGCCCACTGGGGGGCCCAAAGATTTGCACTGGTGAGGTGTACAGGTTAAAGAACTTACTTGTGCAAGACATCAGCAACAACAGCAGGCAGCATGGAGCAGTAAGAACCACCTGCGTCTTTAGTGTATCATTCTTATACAGGTTGTTATCACATATTTGCATTCTTTTTAAATACATATTTACATTCTTACATAGTGCTATAACTAGTGCGTGTATGTTTACCTGTGCTGAGTCATGGTTATAGAACTATCCCACCATGCCCTTGTGCTAGACAGCAGGGTCACGTCCTCAGGTGTCCTTTGATGCCCCTGAGCTTTGAAGCAGTCTGAGTGGTTCCCCATATGCTTGTTATGCAGTAGAAATTTCTGGAAGATAGATCACCTATTTTATATTTATTTATTTATTTATTTATTTATTTGTTTATTTTTTGCGGTACCGGGGATTGAACTCAGGATCCTGTGCTTGCCAGGCAGGCGCTTATTCTACTGAACTATCTCGCCGGCCCTTGGATCACCTGTTTTAGTTAGTGGCTAAAACAGAATCGTAGTATTGGTGTGGTGGGGGAGACCAGTTAAGGAGAATCAAGATCGACTTAGCCTCTTCTGTGGGGAGAAAGTAGCAGGTTGTGATTCTTTGGCACCATGCTGGTCTGATGGCACAGTGCTGGTTCTAGGGAAAGGCTGAAACAGCTGTGATCAGCTTGTTTACCTGGGTGTGCACTAATGGACAGTGCAAGGCAGATGGCTCTTGTGCTACTTAAATTGCTTGTCCCTGTCTGGATGAAAGCAGACCTCAGGCTCCTCTGGCAACTAGAGGCAAGAGTCCCTGGCTGGCACATGCTGAGCTGACTCCATGTCTCTTTATCATTTATCCTTGTTCACCCCTAGGTCAGGGTGACAAACTAACAGGACTGGGTCCCTGCAAGTGGCATCTGGATGGGGAGAAACTGGAGTGACGGAGTGACCAGGAAAGGGACCTGGGCCTGGCGTGTAGGCCAGTTTCCTACTGTTGGTGCCTAAACAGGGACTTAGCCTGGGCACACTGGTTTGCTAGTTTGGTCCGCTGCACAGAGTCTAGTTTTGGTTCCCTCATGAATTGTTGGATTTATTTATTTATTTATTTTTGATTTGTTATTTTTAATGTTTCTTGTTGTTTGTTTTCTCCATTGCATCAGCTACATTTTAGCCTGTGACATTCTCTCATAGTTAGCCACTCATAGATGCATTTTTCACCTGTGGATATTAGTAATTTAGAAATTTTGCATTTGGGGGAATATAACCACATTAAAATATATTTTGTCATTGCAAAAAAGTAGTTACTTTTACTCTCACTTACTGGATTTCTGTTCATTTTTTCCTTGTATTTAGAAACAAAAAAACCATCAAGAATCTTTCTCGCTTGGTTGTCCGCCCCCATACAGATGCTGTTTACCATGCGTGCTTTTCTGAGGATGGCCAAAGAATAGCTTCTTGTGGAGCTGATAAAACCTTACAGGTAAAACAATTTTATTGAGATAGATTCAGAGATTTTTACCCACTCCTGTGTAGATTAGAATATGTTCAATTCCAAGATTGAAGAAGATTGCATGGTAGAAATAGAAGAGAAAGCTGAATCTCTTGACCATTTTACAGCAGCTTTCTCTAGAGATTTTGAAGATATATATTTCAAATTCTGAACTCACTGGATGACAAAGAGCCTTTCTGCCTCTCGTCAGTTACCTGCTGTCCATTTGCCAGCTAAGGGTGAAGAGGAAGTAATTGTTAAAAGACAGGATTTCATAGCCTGTGGATAGGCCTGTGATGGAAAAAGGTGGTTAAAGAAAATAATTTATCAAAGGCTGAAGACATATATTTCAGACTGTAAAGAAGAATCGGACTATTAGATTATTTCCAAAGATTCTTTAACTAACTTCTGAGTTCTTCTTTGCTTTCAGTAGATGAATGAGTGCTTCCTTTTGCTTTACGTTGTTTCTTCCTTTGCAGTTCTGAATACTGAGCCCAGGGCCTTGTGTATACAAGGCTAGCACCTTATCACATCCCTAGCTCTTACAACATTTTTTAAGATTTTGAGACAGGGTTTTGTTAAATTGCTAAGCTGCCTAGACCGGGCTTGAACTTAAGGTCTTTCTGCTTCAACCTCTCATCTCATCTCAGCCTTTAAACATTTAAAAAAATTTTGAGACGGACTCTTCCTTCCAGGTCTGGCCTGAAACTTCTCATCCTCCTGCCTTAGCCTTCTAAGTAGCTAGAATTACAGGCATGTACCACCATACCTGATTTTCCTGTTGGTTTTGAAGGAAATCAGATCAAATGAATTAAAACCTTTATAGTTGGAATAATTTTAGTCTTTGCAAGATTATGACTGCATACCTTACTTTTGTGGGACCTGTTTATGAATTTTAGTGATTTCAACTTTTGACAAATGCCTCAGAAAGAAATTACATTGAATGGAATTGTATTGAGTTGATTATTAGGAATTTGTCGAGATAGTCTCAATAAGCTGAAGCACTGTTCTGTCACTGGTATGTAGTGCGATTTACTCTTAACAAAGGATAGCTGTCTATTATGACATCAGTTCTGGTAGAATTGCTGATTTTTGGAGTGATTTTCCTAAGGTACATTTCTGTTTTGCAAAATAAAAATTCTTATCTTCTATTTTTTATTTTTTAAAGAGCTTTTAAAGATTTTTATTTAGTTATGATCCTCAGTTAAACAGTTTATAGGAAAAATACCTACCCTATTTTATTGCTGCACATGCAGGTGTTCAAAGCTGAAACAGGAGAGAAACTTCTAGAAATCAAGGCTCATGAAGATGAAGTACTTTATTGTGCATTCTCCACGGATGACAGATTTATAGCAACCTGCTCGGCAGATAAAAAAGTGAAGGTAGGAAAGTATTTTTTCTCTTGAGTAGGAATCACTACAGAATTCACTTTCTTTTTCCGTATCAGAGACTATAGTAAGTAGGATTACAGGACCCATGCTTGTGCACCTGCTGACTTGATGCATTATAACTTGATGCTTTGATTTTTTAGCAACATGTTTAGGTTGATCAGCTTGAGGTATTAGGCAATGGAGAAAAGTAATTACAAGTTAATGCATTTGCCTACTGCTAGTGGATGGGTCTGTGGGGTTCACATCAGTTGACATCCCGTAAGTGCGTTGTGATGGAAGCAGTGCTGCACAGAATGACGTGTGTGAGCACATAGCAGTTGGAGGCTGTGTCATTTGTGAAGTATAACACAAATTATTTTTTAACCTTTATGAACTGGTTTATATATTCAGTGCAAAACCAGATGTATGAACAAACAAATAGGTTACCAGCTTAAAAAGTAAAACGGAAAAATGAAGGTAAATTTTATCTTTGTTACTTTTTCTTCCTTGGTATTAAATTTAGCTTTCAGCAGGAGAGTTTATGGAATTAAAGGAAAACTAATGTGGAATTTAAGAAAAACTGAGGACCTAAGGCATGTTTTGTCACTCATAGTTGAGGCAAGACCTCAACTCAGGCTGTTTTCAAAGGCGTTGTGGATTATTGAACCTAGCCACGTTGAATGGGCAGGGAAGTTGCCTTAGGAGGTGTCCAGGAGTTGCTACCCTTGAAGAGGAACAGGGATTGTCCTCACTAAAATCAAGACATGGCAAAAATTTACTTTTTGAGCGTAACTGGGTGGCTTTATAGTCAACAGGTAATTTATTCCATGGCTTCTACAGAGTCCGACTGAGTTGGCTATACTGGGCAGTTCTAAAGTCAAGAGCATATGGAATAAGGGGCCGGGGAGATGGCTCAGTGGAATAAGCGCTTCCCTGGCAAGTGCAAGGGCCTGAGTCCAATACCCGGTTCCGCAAAAAAAAAAAAAAAAAAAAAGGAGCACATGGAATAAAAGGAAAGAAAGCTGAGAGTCTATTTTCTCAAAAATATAACTCAAAATATAAAATAGACAAAAATATTTATTAGAGAGCTTCAAAATGAGATAAACTCTTTGGTTCTCTGGGGATTCTTATAAGTGCTCATGTAAAATACAGGGCATGCTCAGGCAGGGACCGTGAGCACCTCTGAAGAGTGAAAGTCCTGTTGAAGATTCATAGGTAATTTATTTCTTTTGTTTGTTATTATATAGAACAGATAGATTAGTTGTCTTATGTAGTAACTAGAATGCTGGTTACTTTTTACTGTGACTGGGTTTATACTATACTCTTCCTTCTATTGTTTATTTCACCGGGTAATCTGTCCTTATTATTATCACCATTACTATTACTATTGTTATTATTGTTAGTGGTGTGTGGATCAAGCGTAGGGCCTTCTGCATGCTAGACAAGTGCTGCCAGGCCTCTGTGTTTACATATGTACATGGAGTGTACACTTCCCATTGTTATCTTCTTGATGTGTGCAGTAGGGTAGGATGGGGCTAGATGTCCATTTTGCAGCAGAGGGAAATGGGATGCAAATGTGGCCAGGGTCGGTGGGGTCACACAGATTGTGAGTGGCAGAGCCAGGTCGCGGACGTAGTCCACCATGCTCTACTCCCCTTAGCACTTCTCTGTGGCTGTCATCCAGGTGACCATGGGGACTCTTCCCTTGTCACAGGATTCCCTTCATGCAGTAGACAGACTTATGTAGATAGAGGGACCTTCAGACGCATTATGACCGAAGTATTTGTGATTTTGTGCTTTCCTCCCTTCAGATTTGGAATTCCGTGACTGGGGAACTTGTACATACCTATGAGGAACATTCCGAGCAAGTCAATTGCTGCTGTTTCACCAACAACAGTCAAAACCTTCTCTTAGCCACTGCGTCAAATGACTTTTTTCTCAAAGTAAGCATGGATATTGAGAATTTTGTAGATCCAAAATACGTCATAAATTCTCCTTTGATTTTATCATGTATTTTTAGCACTTTTATATTTTTCTGCAGTAATAGTAATTTCTGTATTAACTTAAGTACAGAAAGTACTTCCCCTCAGAAGGAAGATAGTATTAGCTTACAGAACTGCAAAGTCTGGAAGGGACGTGATCTACATTCAGGCATCGCTACCTTCAGATGCTTCACCTTTGTCCCCAGGTTCTAGTTTCTCTCCATCCCCAGGCTTTGCCTTCTTTATGGTTAGTTATGCTGTCTCTGTGTGGCAGGAAACAGCTACCCAGGCTCCTCAGCTCCAGGATTGTGTATTTGAATCTTGCTGCTTCTATTCACAGAGGAAGAGAAGCCGAGAAGCCTAACCTGCTCCAGATCTCATGCATCTGATTTTATTTTCTTTTGTATGGTTTTTAAAATTTTTTGGTGAAGACAGAACTTAGGGCGTTGGGTGCTATGATGAGCTAATCTCCAGTCCCACCCACACTTCTGCTGTAGACAAGACTCCTGCTCACTGTTGCTTTGTGCTCCTTGCTCTGTAACCCCAGTGACGAGGAGGAATCCTCGAATTGTCAGAGGGTGCAGGTTTGGCCAGAGAGAGGAGAGACAAATGAGGTGGGGCCAGCTGTACTTGAATCATAGCCAGACTTTAATTGAAAACAAGCATCCTGTCAGGGAAAGGAGGGAAGGTGCTTTGTAGGGGAAGAAAGACAGGAAACAGAACCAAAAGTTATCATCCCATGTATATTTGCTAATGATTGTAATCATAAATTATAAAAATGTGTATTTTTTTTATTCTAGGTAGATGAAGATAGCTAGACTGAATCCTAGAAAGATTTGTTAATTTCTTTTTTTTTGGCTTGATCTTTCTTGGTGTCATCCATCTTTAAAATGGGAAGCCATAGTGGTCTAAAGCACCTACTTAGAACAAGCTTAGCAAAGCACAGGGACCGCGGTTCAATCCCCCAGCACTGCATGCCAGCCAGCCCCGCCCCCTGGTGGGCTGAGCTGGCCACACACACACACACACACACACACATAAATAAATTTAAATAAATAAATAAAATGGGAAGCCATAGTTTTGTGAGGGATAGGTAAACAATTTCAGAATGTAAACCTCATAGGTATTATATTTTGACCTTTAAATGAAGTTTTTCAAAATTTTAAGAAATATTGGAATATTTACTAAAAATTGTCCTCTTTTTAGGAAGCCAACCCCTTATTTTTCTTTTCTTTTTTCTTATTTATTTTTCTCCAGAAGGAAAAAAAAAAACAAACCATGAAATCTCAGTGTCTAAAACACATGAGGCCTATCACTCTGGTTAAAGTGGGGCTCAGGCCTACTCTCAGTCCTTCTCACCCCATCTTCCTCACATAGGGCCTGGCAGGCAGGGTTATGCCTCCCCCCCATATATTTTAGAAACACTGTATTGGACCAAAATTACAGATTAAGTGTGGTAACATAGAACTATTTCATAGCTGTAGTTCACTTTTACTTAGAAAACCTTTGCTCTATTTGAATAAATCCACCTCTAAAAAGGATTAAATGTGTTATTGTACTACTTACGACTGCTGTGTGTGTGTGTGTGTGTGTGTGTGTGTGTGTGTTGGAATGGTTATATTTTTCTGCAGTAATGGTAATTTCTGTATTAACATAAGTACAGTCCTTCTCACCCCATCCTCCCCACATAGGGCCTGGCAGGCAGGGTTATGTCTCTTCCCCCTGCTCCCCCCTCGCCCGTATATATTTTAGAAACAGTTTTGGAAGCTGAGGCAGGAGGATTGAATGCAGGGCCTTGTCACTGAGCTACCTCCTGACCCCCTTCTTATTTTTACTTATTTATTTTAAAAAATGTAATATATTTGGTATAGCGTCTCACTACGCAGCTTGGGCTCACAGTGATCCTCCAGTTTTCAGCCTCCCATGCGCTGGGCTTACAGGTGTGTGTGACCACGCATAGACTCCATCATAGGCTTAGCGCACCTGAGGATGTGGCTGGTGTGGCATACAGTACCTGGGATTGAACCCTGGTCCCTGTCCTTACCTAAGCAGGCATTTAATTCACTGAATGAACTGTCTTGTCAGCCCTTATTTTTATTTTTATTTTGAGACATGGTTTTACTAAATTACCCCAATGAGGCTTGAACCTATGATCCTCCTGCCTCAGCTTCCCAGAGTGCTGGGATCATGGGCTAAAGACAAGGTTTACGTAAAGTTCTGTTATACCACACCTATATCATGGTAAGGACTATTAAAATGCACTTGTTATGATTTCTTGAGCTGAGAATACAATGAAAAGTACGTAAATCTGAAGTGGCCTCTGTAATTTGTCTTATCTGAAGAATTGCTTTTAGTTTTATTTTAGACAGTTTAGGCTGGCCTTATCACACTCTGTAGCTCAGTCCTTGTGCCACAGCCTGCCTAGTGCTGGAATGGCAGCCATGGGCCAGCATTCAGGCTTTTAAGATTTGCGTTTATTGGGACTGGACTCAAGGAGCCAACGATAGAGATGGACGTGAGGAACAGGATTTATCTCACTGATCATTTCAAAAGAAGTTCTACCAATACTAATTTTTGATGGTAAATGACTTCTTCCCCTGGGTTTGTGTAAGTAGTATAAATCACTAGAGAAACTGTAGCCCCTTAGCTCTTTTTATGCATGTTGTTTAATATTTTCACATATATGCAAGGGACAGAATCGAACAGTGAGCCCCTGAGGTGGCCATCATCTAGTCTGACAGATTGTGTATGCAGTCAGATATTTCCAGACCTATTTTATGACTCCTTTCCCCCTTTTTGGGCTAGAACATTTTACAGCAACCATTCCACCCAGAATAGTGCGGTATGCTTCTTGGGGCTCTTAAAGGTGTCATGCCGTTATCATATCTGACAGCAAACTATAGTTTTGTTACACTTGGTTCTGTGTGTACTTCCCCACTGGTCTCAAAATGTGTCTTTGTAACAGGTTTATTTGGATCAGAATCCAAAAACCTTGGCACTTTGTCGTCATGTTCTCTTAAGGTTCCCCCTCCCCCCAGAGTAAATCCAAGGCCTCTGCCTAAACCTCCCCTTTCCTAAATCATGACATTACCCAGGCTGGGCTTGCCCTTGTTCTTCTGCCTCAGCTTCTTAGAGGCTGGATTACAGGCATGGGCCACTACACCTGGATTTTAATCCCTTTTTTAGCCCCTTCAGTGATTTGCTTTGTGGAATACAGTCCATTGTGGATTTGGTAATTGTTTCCTGGAAGTGTTGTTTGAATTGCTTGTCTAATGTGTTACATTTCTTGTATTTATACTTCTAAGCTCTTAATTGAAAGGGGAGGAAGAGGTTCATGTGTTTTCTGACTTTTCTTTATGTAGTATCTTTTTTTTTTTTTTTTTTCTGGCAGAACCCGGGGTTGAGCTCAGGCCTTGCACTTGCCAAGAAGCGCTTATTCTACTGAGCCATCTCCCCAGCCCCTAGTATCATTTTTTTTTTTAACATTCTATAGTAATTTAATTACTTTTTCAAATTAGAAATTGCAGGATTTAATTTATTGAGCCCCTATCACGGGGAACATTTTTTAAAAGTTAACGCTTTCTCCAAACTTCCAGCCGAAGAATGGACAAAATGACATAATGCCACCATCCTGAAAATATTTGAAGTTTAGAGTTTCTTCCAGCTTTATTCTTCATTTGAACCTAGTATCATTTTTTGATGTATCCTTTTATCTTTCTCAAATAGCTGTGGGACCTAAATCAAAAACAGTGTCGAAACACCATGTTTGGCCACACAAATTCAGTTAATCACTGCAGCTTTTCCCCGGATGATGAGCTTTTGGCTAGTTGTTCAGCTGATGGAACATTAAAGGTAAGCTTTTGGATATCATTAAAATGGGCTATAATTTAAGGTGAAGTATATGATTCAGTGATGGAAAAAGGTTTCTGTTTGTAGTTGTTTTTGTCACAGTGACAAAATACTTGAGAGAAATAGCTTATAAGGAGACAAGGTTTATTTTGGCTCAGAGTTCCAGAGCTTTCTGTATATGGTGGCTTGGTTTTGTCAGTTTTGTCCCTGTTGTGAGACGGGGTGTGTGTGGTAGAGTAATTCTGCTCACCTAGTGACAGTGAGGAAGCTTAGGGACAGGAAAGGGCTGGGATCCGAGTATACTGCCCCAGGGTACTTGTGCCTACTTCCTTCTGCTAGTTCCTGCTTCAGAAGCTTCCACCATCTTTTATTTATTTATTTATTTAACATTTAAAAAAATTATCTTTATTTAGGTTTCTGATTCAGTTCATGTATCAAAGACCAACATAAAATAAATTATACATTGATTGTAAGTCTTACATCTCTCTAAACTCTGGCCAAGAATGTCAAGTTGCCACTATTACCAAACTCCAATCCAGTCAAGTGTAGACGAGCTATCAGGCACAACATACAGTGTGTGCACAGCTGCGCAGAGGCAGAGGCATGCCAGGGGCTCTCTTGCCCTTGTACCATCTGCTAGTGGTGCCACAGGTGGGGGAACCAAGCTTCATGACTTGGCCTTTGAGAGTATTCAGGATTCAAATTATAATATTGTTTTTTTCCTACAGAAAGCACTACTTCAACTTCTAGTAGCATATTCAGTGTGATCATAATGATTTTGAGTAGTTTACCAGCTAATGTTTAAAATCCATATGATTTAAATTCTTAAGTTTTAGGTGTGTATTTTTTTTTTTTTTTTATTTGTATGTCTGGTTTACTTCACACAGCATTATATTTTCCTGGTGTATTTTTTTTTCCTACAACTGTCTCAACTACATCGTAGCTGAGTAGTATTCCGCTATATATAGATATCAATTTTCTTTTCTTTTGTTGATGGGTATATGAGCTGTTTCCAGGATTTAGTTATAAGTTGCACAGCTATAAACATTAGTATACATATATCACTGTAGTATGTCTTAAGCTCTTGGGGAAGATTCCTAGCAGTGCACAGCACAGTCATATGGAATTTACAATTTTAGTTCTATGAGATTATCTCTACAGTGATTTCTGTAACATTTGTAGTAGTTTACAATCCCACCAACAAGGAAGTTTGTTTTTCACCATAGCTTCACCAATATTATTCTTTTTTTAAAGTTTTATTTTATTTTATTTTGGTAGAGGTTTTTTTTTTTTTTTTTTTTTTT